TCAACGAGCCGCGTAAAAATACCCCGAGTCGTCCACGGTACTCGACGTTCGCGCCTTCTTAACGTCGAGTTACCGCCGCTTTAACAGAGTCTTTAACGCTTCAAATAGATCTCGCGCCGCCCTCCGACAGGCGTCCCTCCTCCGCTGCGCGGTGACGTTTTTAAAGCCATGCTCGCTCGGAACTCTCCTCTCGTTGTCTGTCGCGTCCCTCTCGGAGACGGACGTAATTAACGTGAAACTGCCGCGTCCGCGTTCGCGCCCGTTTAATGCCTCCGCGACTTTCGTGACAACTCGTTCTCTCCGCGGCACATTGAGCTAATTAACAATTCGTTCGAATTTGTAAATCCTTACATTATCCATCACCTGTCACATTAAGCATATTGCATTGTATGACTAGATTCGCTAGATGCATTGTATCAGTATTTTCTCCACACTTTTGCAATTATAATTGATATTTGCAAATTTGATAGATTTGAAATAACTTGATATAATTAGCGTGCAAAAACAGGAAACAAGTAATTAATTACGTGTCTCTCAAATAGTTGGTTTTAAAGCTTCTTTTCTGCTTTTTGCGACTCTGCAAATTTCTCTGATGAAAAAAACAACCGAAATCGCGTGGCATCTGTTAAATTTTAATTGAAGATCTCTTCTGTCTACACGTTATAAAAGTCGCCATGGTGGCTAATTTGTCGAGAGAGGAAGGCCCCGTAATGCCGTTGTCGTACAAGAGGTCTAAGGTGGAGAGGACGAGGGGAGAGTCAAGATTCTTGCCTGCTTTCGTGATGGTTGTGATTCTGGTGAAGAGAAAAAGATACAAATGGCGTGACATGAGAGAGAGAAAGAAAGAGAGAAGCTGCGACGTGAGGAAGAAGTGGTCTCTGAGGAAAGGAAGGCGAGCAGAAAAGATAAGCCGCACAACCTTTCCTGTCGCCATCTTTTCAGTATAAACTGCGTCCACGTAATTGATGGCTGCCAGTCCGTCGTAATAAATTTACGAACGTTCGTCTTTTAAGAATGCATCTGAAAATAATATGATTTGTGCCAACATTGTTTGGCGGAACATTGGTTGAAGGACATTAATCTAAAATTAGTAATAAATTTTATCTCAAATAAAGGAAGAAAAATCAATTTTTGTCCACCGCAATTTTGTATTGCATTTGCAAATTTATTAATAAATTAAGTAAGCGTTTAGTAGTTGATTAGAGATAAGTCAACGTTACGTGTTAATTATTTTTTCGATGACGACATGATTACCCTTATACAGTTTCACTCGGGTAATCCCGTTTACACGGACCAAATAACTATACACCTACACATATAAGATCCGTTTCTTGAAGGATTTCGGCTTCACCGGATTCATTCAGCCTTTGCTCCCACGTGTGAGCGTGTCCATACAATCACATACAGTGAGAACACGCAATAATGAGAACTTTATTGAAGATACAAAATAATTAAACGAGAGGCAAATATGTGAAGGAAATCATATAAACATGCAATCATATAAATCATATAATACAATTTCGTGAAATTTCAATAAAGTGCACGCTTATTGAAACTTCACGAAATTGTATTGTTGCACAATTGTTTAACAACGGATTAGTTTGCGCGTAATATTTTGTCGCAAAATTCTGCACAACGTGAGTGTAACGAAATAAAAACTACTGAAATCACTCTTCACCGATTGTGTCACCATGTCGCTACAAAGATCGCTACTTAAGTTATACATGGTGAAAGTTGCAAGCGAGAATGCTTTCTATCTGGACGAAGTGACGAATCTTGTCAATTTCGCAAGGTAGATTATCAGTGGACTATCTCTCGATTAATCACGCGATAGATACGATGACTTATTATTCTTAGAAGATGCCGCTCATTTTAGGTATTTTTTTCTCTCTTGCAATAATGAAGATTATCGATCATGCGATGATAATAACTCAATGTCCATGTATGTGGTCGATTTAAACACAATTTAAATCAAAACGTTCAAATTGAAAAAAAAAAGTTTCATATTACAAATATAAAAATTATTAGCACTGTTGATATAATCTCATTTCTGTTTTCAAATGTAATGTATTCACGACAAAGTTTCTCTACGTATTGGGTCATCCGACATTAAAGTTTGATGAAAATTGAATGTATCAACGATTATTCGCGCGCTATTAACTATCATTTATGAACTCCAGGAAACTTTGGCGACATAACTTTCCACGCGTAAAATTAATGCTAGATCGCGGCCAAGCGGGACGGCGTAATGCGCACCGTTCAAGAAATCATGCCGATAATAGCAGCCATTTTCCGGACAACGTCAAATAAGCGAGCTTTCGCCACTCGTATCTTTTTTCATGAGAAGTAGAAACTTACTTGAGCAGCTAATACTATTATAAAAACCACAAATATCAAGCAGTAAAGGAAACTAAGTATTTTTGCTGTTTAAGCCTTATTCGCGGACGTCATTACACAAACCACAAATATCAAGAGATGAAAGAACCTAAGCATTCTTGCTTTCTAGCCGTTCTTATAAACGAATATACAACCAGTAGTGCGCTCACATATTTATAAAATACGAATTTTATGATCTTGGAATTATTCCTCTCCGTGTGTTAGCGATTGTTTAAAAAAAATATGCTAGTATATAAACCGAAGGAAAAAATTCTGACGGTGGTCGTATCAGGATTCGTACAAAATCCGACACGTTCGGTTACTCGAGGGGGTTGTCTCGCCAACGAGCGCGCGTCGCGAAACGATCGGCGACAAGGTGGAGCACGAGAAGTGGAGGCGGGATAGGACCATATCACGGCGAGTCTTCCTGCACCACGAGATCCGAAGGGTTTTCGCGCCGGCGGCTGCCGCGGGGGTGAAAGTGGGGTCTTAAAAGGTTCCGGTGGGAAACCCAGCAGGGCGTGAATGGCTCCAGACACGCTGGAGGTGCCCGGAACGTTTCGTTAGAGGCGAGGAGAAAAAGAGTGGGACAGAGAGTGAGGGCCGTGGAAGCCGGGGAGACTACGAGCCACACATGTACACGCGCGCGCGCGCACACACACACGTGTCGCGTGTTGTTATGCGTGAACGGGGACACACGTGCGCGCGCGCGCGCGCGCACAGCATGTCCTCGAAGTCCGCCGCCACACCACCATTACACCACCACCACCATCGTTATACCACCACGACGAAAGTGCGCGGGGTCTTTGTTCACGAGAAAGTTCGGTTTACCTCGTTCTTTCGGTGCGAATCCCGCGACGCGACGCGACGCGCCGTCGTCCCTTCGCCCTTCTATTTTTGCAACGCGCGGCGCGGGGCTCCGCGTGATATTTCTTGTGAAAATACGCGAGCGTATTGACGCACGCTCACGGAAAAATCGATGCGCGCGAGATTGTAAACAGCGTGGAGCCGGAAATGGCTCGATGTTGCGATGGAAGCGACTCCTCGAATTTTCTCACGAAGATAGTTATGCAGATGGTTCATTGTAGATCGAGATAATTATGCAAATCATTGAAACCGCGTAATTCGAAGCATAAACGAAGGCAGTCGAATGCTATATCGAGCATCTTTGTAAAGTCTTCATACGTTTCTAAAAAAAAGGATAAAAAAGAATGGCTCCACACAATTGCCCGTTCATTATTATTATTAACGAAAAAGCATCACGTATTTAACCGAACTTCCGAGTAAACAGGAGATCGAAGTGAATAGTCCCTGCGGTATTGCTTAACGACCGAGAGACAGTTTTGTATTTTATCGTACGAGAAAACGGATGGAGGCTCCCATCGGTATATATAAAAACTTCGCCGTGAGTCGCCGTATTTTTGTAAACGCGCTGGCTTCGAAATTGATAAGCGGCGCGGGCTTTTAATAATTCACGAGAGAGGTGAAACGCTAAAACGCGAAGGAGAATCGTTTGCGGGAAAATAAAGTTCTCGTCGATCCTATTCGTCACGCGCGCGCCGCAACGATCCGTGGGCGTTTTCGTGGGTGATTTCGACACGGTCTACGAATAGAAAGGTACACATACGGGAGGGAGAGAGAGTCGTTTTCCGGGGGGCCCTCTCTTTCTCTCCCCCGTGTGTGTAACGGAATGCCGGGAGAGCTGTCGGAGAGAAGGCTTTATCAACGCAGATATACAACCCGACTCGTCGCGGCGGCACTCGAGCCTCTCCCGTCCTCTCGAAATAACTCCGCGCCCTTGCCATATTAATTACCGGGATTCATTCCGTCCTCATTTACAATGGGCTAATTTAACGTGAGGCAACCTCGGCGCGCGATCCCCTGCGCGCGAGCACGCACATGAGAGTGACGTCTTTCTGTTTATACGAGCTTTACGAAGCTATTAATCGTGGGAGGAGTAATCGCTCTCCGTTATGCGCGCCGAGATTGTTTCGATAAAATTAATACTCCATGAAATCTATATCTTTTACGAGTATACTTTTTTGTGTAATATATTTTTGTATTCTTCTAAAGATATAAAGACGATATAGTTACCAAAGAATTGCTCATCGTACAACATTTTCACACAAAGAAAAAAAGACCGTAAAAACTCAGGTAGAATCTTTTCCTCGCCGTCTACCATAAAAGAAGAATATCCATTATCGATGTTTGTGATTATCTGATTTTTTTTGAGGTCACCTTTTGAGGCGATATAAGCTAGCTATAAAAAAGCTACCGAGACGCACTAGAAAAAAATAAATCTTTTGCGTTTCTAGTAGTATGTACATATGTAGTACATATGTATGTCCTTATCATGACACGTCTATGCATATGTGCTTACGAGCAGCTATTTTATGCGTTATTTATATGTATCTACGTTGAAAAAAAATGAAGAGAATGTGAAATGAATCTCTGTAGGAGACGAAGTTTCTACGACTGCACGAATATCAAAGTCAGTTCGAAACAAGTTAGAAAAACTAATACCTAATTTTACAAGGAAATATATGGAGTTTCTCCGCATCGTGCATGCACCGCAATTATACTATGTTAATGATGTGTTTTTCCTGTTTTTTTGTTTTTTTTAGCTCCTGGTGAGTGGCGGGCAACCGACAACGGCGACGTCGCCGGCGATGTCGGGGGGTGCGTTGAGCCCGGGTGCCCTGTCGCCTTCGTCCACGGCGACAACGACGACGGGGGTCGGGCCCGCAGGTACTGGCGGTGCCACGACCCCCGTGGGTGGTGCCGCCACCGGGCCCGGTTGCTGCGAGAACGGTAGGCCCATGATGACGGACCCCGTGACGGGGCAAACAGTGTGCAGCTGCCAATACGACAACGCCGCGAGATTCGCGTTGGGCGCTTATCCTCGGCTACCCACCGCGACTTCCTACTCCTCCTACCCCACGCCGACGCCCTCCACCACCGACCAGGGGCCTTACCCCAGCATCGGCATGGATAGCTCTGCGTTCTACTCGCCATTGGTGAGTTCTCTTTTATTTTTGACATGGCGATTTATCAGTGTTAAAAATGTTAAGAAATGATTTTATGCCCTTCAACAGATAAGTTTGTAGATATTAAAACCATCGCGCGCGTTGTAATCAATATTAATATATAAGATACAAAATATTATCTCACATAAAACATGATATGATTAAGATATATTATAATATATAAATACATATTATCTATGTATTATATCTTTGAACGTTAATTATTTGTTTCAATAGTTTCGTAAAGATATTAAAAAATAAATAGAATTTATAGTCACTACTAAAAGTTTAGGAAATTAATCATTATATTTTTGCTCCATTTAAAAATTTATTTCTTTTATTTAAGAGTCAAAGATTGTTTAACTTTTTCCGTAACCTTAAATTTGCTATTAAAAGCATATCATAAGTTTCTAATCAGATCTACGAACGATCATTTTGCAACGTGTAACGCGGCCATTGCCAGATGCAGATTGATCGATTCGTCGTACAAGGCGTACCCGGGCGATTATTGCTTCTCCAGTATTAACTTAAGACGGATTAGCACGTGGTGTTGCCGCGAATTAATTTGGAATCCCGGCGACGGAACCCTCTCTCGGACGTCTCGGGATCGTGCGGCCCCCCCCCCCCTCGATTGCCCCGTGCGTTCAAGAATTCGTGCGTCTTCCAGGCTGGGTACCGGCTGCATCGAATTATTCACGCGTCCCTTTCTCGAGAAGCGACCGATAAGCTCGTTTAAGTTTCGATTCGCGGAAGGCAAAGTCGCTCGTTGCGTTCTCAAGGGGCTGCCGGTGACGAATTCGCGCGCATATGTCACCAGAGAATCCTCCTCGACCGCCTGTGCGTTACTTCAACTCGGTCCTGGAGAAGTCTAGGAATCTAGAGAAACGCACTTAAACCAGTTTCACACAATCTAAAATTCGTCACGGAATTTTGTCATAATTTCATTATGAAGTAATATTAAAAATACTTTCTGGATCGGAATTACGTCTATATAAAATTAATTGCTGTTCTACTTTCAAACAAAAATCGTATTCTGTACGCATACATATAGCAGGACGTACGCAACAAAATAAACGATGACATACACGCACACAGTAATATAATCTGACTGATTTTTCTCTTGTTACCCATATTTTATAATTGAGAAGACCGCACAGATGCATTACATTCACACTGATAAGCATTTGATGCCATCCCAGATTGGAAGAAAGTGTAATAGCCAATTAAATTTGAATTTATCGGGCGATTATACTAATTGGCTGCTTTTAGGCGGTGTTGTCGATTAATGTATTCCTCCGCGCGGCCAACGGCCCGTGACAAAAATAGAGTTGCTATGCAGGAGAAGAAAATCTAGGAAAAAGGAATCGTTACGATGGCTAATAATGTAGTCGGAAATTGCCCCGTTTCACGCTGCGATTCGATGGCGCGAGGATTTATGTCCGCCGCAATTTATCTGCATGCAATTTGTAGACAGGACTTATCCCGAGTGAAATTCAGCGAATGCATGTACCATCCGGGAGAGACACGTCTCATTCTTCATACGCAATTAGCAACGTAAATTTGCAGCAACGCAATTTTCTAAATCGCGTGTAAACAGCGATCTCTCATCGGTACAACTCAGTTGGACCGTATCGCGCATTTTACGAACTGTAGAGATAGAATCGTCGTAATTTGATAAAAAGGCAAAAAAAAAAAAGATGTCGATACCTGTCAAGAGATTATTTTCATATGAAAGCGCAATTATCGTTAAAATCAACTTTTAATAATGACATTATGTGCTGCGTTAATCAATCTGCAACGGCAATTTCTGTAATGGCACGGGACGGTGTGCCATTGACGCGTGCCGTAAATGTGTCATTACCTCGTATAATCAGATAATACGATGTATGTATAGCTATCTCTACAGCGCATTTTCATTTTTGCGGATCGCGACTGTTTGTACGACTGAAAAACCCATCGGCTTTTTGATGTTGCCGCGTAATCAGTGCATGCTCTGGTCAGATAAATGCTGATACGACACAAAGCCTTATCTTTGAACAGCAGATCGCGCGTAAATCGTGCGATGTGATCCTACTTTCGTATTCTTGTGTCGAATACCGATTTAGTATACCTATTTTGCAAATTAACTTAAACTGCACCGATATCACAGAATACTTATAATCTAAGATTAAACATTTACATTTAATATTTATATTACTCAATAAAATTTACCGTATCATTTCACAGTCAGCTTCACGTGATAATAACATCACGAGGTTAATATATTTAATTAAACACGCCAAGCAGTTTGTATACACGCGCTAGCTCGATATTCTGCAGCTATCATTAGATCTGAATATTTGTCAGAGTAAAAATCGAGAAACTGTTAAGTCTGATAATACGTTGTGACGTAATGTGTTATATAGTGACATCAGAAAATATGAATTAATTGCAAATTAAAATCGCAAATGCGTGATTAATTCGTATATCTCTATTTTAAATTGCACATCTTTTCTGATGTATCGATGATATTGATATATCAAACATGGAAGTGTTTTCGGAATGCTTTTTCTTAAACAGAAGATGTGTTTCTCCTTTTTTTTATTCATAAATAAAATTCCCGCACAAAAATATATTTCGCATATGACATTCGCGAATCTCGCTTATCGTGCGCTAAGCGAGATCGTCTCCGTCAAACGAATCGCGACGATGAAGGAACGGAAGAGGCGGACACCGAAAGGACGAGAAGTAGGGAGAGGAGAGTGCTCTCATCGTTCTCGCGAACGAGTTTATAGAATCAATACGCGGGATGCCATGAAACAGGGACGGGAGCCACGCGGGGATACCGCGGCGGCGCGGGCGGGAGTGCGCGAACGCGAGAAAGAGGACGAGAGGAGGACGTAACTGTGCGCGAGATAGGGGAGCAACGGTAGACGGAATCCTCTTCTCATCAGCCGACGGATTCGTCTTATTTCGCGTATAGCGACGATGTCGGCGTAACGGATTCCGAGATTCGCTCTGGCGGCGACGTTTTCCTCGGGAATGCCGCCGCACACGGCGTTTCGCGCTTTGAACCTTCTCTTCATGTTTTTACGCTTTATTCGCATTGTTTGCGGTACGGTACAATTGTACCTCAGACTCAGACTCACGTTTTCTTAATGCGGTTAAAAGAATTTTTAATGTATCGTTAATACACTGCGTGAGAGAATACCTGCGCCAAAATAGATACTCTAAATATTTCTTTAAACAGCTCGGAGCTATATATGAATAATTGGCAGACATTTATAGTTAGACCGTGGTGCTGTGATCTCAAGACTCGAAAATCTATAGAGAAGAAGTAGAATTGGCAGACTGCATATCCTTTGTAAAACGCTTTGCAGATGACAGAAATTTATTATATCAGTAATGTGCATAATATCAGTCACATAAAAATAAACAGCAAATTGTACATTTGTCATTAGTTTTTGGAGCTCGTTTTGGCGGAATGTCAAGCCGTGATTAATAACGAAAATGTTTGCTATTCTGTAATATTAGTTGTTAGTTTATTAAGAGGATAACATAATGTCATACATACGAAACTTGAATATTTATCCAACGGTCAGAATCAGTAAGATAATATTCCGCAATTGTGGAAGAGAAGCACGCGTATCTGCCGCAATATGAAAGTCATAACGTTTCGATTCGTGATATCATGCGTTATTTTACGGCCCATTGAAAAGCGTAACACGCGTAGCTTTCTTAATCGTAGATTGTTACGCTTTTATAATTGGCACTTAAACGCGACTGGCGTGCAATATTGCCACGTGCAGCGTGCGTTTAGTTGCGCGCGTGTACATCCGTGAGTAATATATCGGGATTTACATAAAATTATTGCAGAGAAACCTTACGTTTACGAATTCACACAAATACAATTTCAACTGATGATTATTTCTTCAGAATTTCGTAATTTTCAATGAAAATTCTTTCGTTAATTATCTTTGTCGATTTCTGTAAGAGTCTTTATAAAAGTGGAAAAATTTTTAAGCATTTTAAGTATTTGCACAACTTTGGAGTATTGATATAATGTTTGTCTATCCGAATATATATAGATAATCGTAGATAATAATCGTGTCGATGTATGTTTACGCTATCATTCTGCACGCGGACAATCGATCGCGCAGTGTGAGTCCCGCTGTAATTGAGACTGATGACTGAAGGACGAAGGGATTCTCCCTCGCGCGTATTGGTTTAGTCTTGGCCGTGCAAAACCCCAAGAATGTCATTTGTCGCGCGAGACACGCGGACGTCATAGTTTTGCATCTTTATCGGCATAAATTGCAGTCCAGCCGGTCAATCGTTCGTGGAATTTCAACGCCGTGGCGTAATTTGGCGCACGCGACCATCACTGCTAGCGGTCGGATGACGGACGATATGACAGGGTATAGCCCGGAATGCCATAAACGTCTGACTGCTGGGAATTTTGAGTATTTTGACCATGAGATGCATCAGTCTTTCCACCTATATTGCGGCGATACCGTTTTTCGAGCTGAAAAAGAAACCTTGAGCAAAAGAACATGCTTTGTAAAAAAAAGAATTGCTCTGCGCACGTGCGGTCTTCTCGATTATGACATTCGAGCAATAAACATTTGGGTATTGAGAAAAAATTATTTCTTCAATGGTCATATTATTATATAATTTCTCAAAAAAATTGTACAAAAAGATACAAAAAATGAAAATAAGCGTGAAACTTTTTGCAATGGTCTCTCAATCATTTCATTAACACACTTTCTTGTACATGTTATTGTACATACAATTCAAACTTGCTAATTCTTGCGAAAAAATACAATTAGAAAAAAATACAATATATTGCCGTCGATTAATTAGCAATAAAATAAAAACGAATAATTGTCAAGATTGATATTATTCTTGGGATGCCGCTTGTAATTTTGTATATTATTATGCACTTAATGCTTAATGATAGAGATATTCGAAACAAATATCTCTTATTATTAATTTTATTTTAATTAATTTAATTTATTTTAATAGTATACATTTTAATGACATATTTTATTTCCGTAATTAAATGCAAAACAAAACGTCTCTTATATTATATTATAAATACAAGAAATATAAATACAAAATATTTTGTATTTTATTTCATACTTTTTATGTTTTTTTATATCTTTCGTCGTGCTCAGTATAGTTTTCGTTTTTCTTTCTCTTCGATGAAATTTCTTCCTCTCTTCCTTTGATCTTTTTCATCGGATAGTTAAGCAGGAAGCACGTGCTCCTGACGATTCAAATCGATGGACCGGATGATTCGACGGGCATTATAATATAATAAGAATCAGATTAGCATTGAATGGAGTGGGTGGCACGATAGATTATCGAAAATGCTCTATAAGACTCTTATAAGGCTCACAATGTGCAAAGTAACTCTTATTTAAAAAAGAAGTAAAACACATAGAAAACGTTATTCATATTGTATATAAATATGGTCAAATAAATATATATGAATATAAATATTCTTGAAACTTTTAAGCAATGCCATTTCAATTACATTTAGAAATTGTACCAATTATTGTTTACGAGACAATCGATACGAAATCGATAATTTCAAATTATGTATATTTTTGTATCGAATATAATAGTACGCGAATAGAGAATAAAAGAGTATTTTGTCATAGAACGTACATGGATCTACGTTTTTAGAGCACCCTGTAGAGGAGACAATTATAGGCGCTACTGCATTAACTTGATGGACTATGTCGAGCCCACGGCGACGCAGGGTATCAAGTTAGAGCCACCTTGCTGTCGCGCCCCCCTAATGCGTCGCATACGTCGCAAGATTTGGGGCGCAACACAACGATTATTGCTACCTTAATACAGCCGCGCTCGTATAATCGGTTAAACCGGCGACCGGTGACCCTGTGTGACTGTGCACAGTCGTAACAATAGTCCGAAGCGTCGACGTCGGACCACCCGCAGTTCGCCATTAAAGCCGCTTCTGAAAAGAAGAGAAATAAAGACGAAGATACACATACACATACACATTTACATATATATGTATGTGCTGGACTCCCTGAAGGGGAGACCCACTGCGAGGTGGGACTAAGGGCCGAGAGTAAGGCGAAAGAAAGGCGGGAGGGAGAGCCAAGGACACCCGTTAGGGCCTTCGAAAATCGAAACGAAGGGTAGAGGCGAGCAGGGAATTAAGAAAGTGGACGCCAACGACGATGAAGACACGGCGACAACGACGACGACGACGACTAGATGTAATACGAAACTCTGTGGCGCCAAAGAAACCATTCCTAAACCGCTGCACTAATAATATCCCGCATTGTGTTACCATTAGCCGCGTAACGCGCCGCCACGTTCCCTTTTCTCACCTGTGCTTCCCTCTCACTTTCTCGCTCTTTTTTCCCACTGGTTTCCCCTCATATCTCATCTCCTTTCTCCCATCTCTTCGCTTGTCTTTTACAGTGTATCTTTACAACGCGCCTCGTGACAACATTATACACCGACTAACTGACATCTGTTCGCGATAATGTCTTAGGGATGCCTGGTTAAACTTGCGGGCCGCGGCCTCCTTTTATTTGCCTCTTAATCCATCGCGATGCGATCAAGGCGAGAGTAAAAGATGATTGAAAGATTTCTCTCAGGGTCTCTTATCCCGGTCGCATAAGCTTTTTAAGACTACAAACCACACACTGTGCTCAGATCAAATATTATATTTATATCGTGACGATTCCTTGTGGTCTTACGGTCTATCAGTGAAAATTGAGATGGATTGCATTGAATCTCTAAAGGAGGGAGATTTCTAGACAGGCTTGCAATAATCTCTCTCAGCATGCAGAACATAATCTGTAGCATTAACTATAATGGATCTGTATAGTTTCCTGAATTGCTCGTGTCACGCGAAGATCGATATCGATCGATATCGTCGTCTCTTTTTTTAATTTTAACGTCACGATAGAACGATAGCATGTTTACATTGTAGAAGAATTTATATGCACTCTGCAGCGACATACTCTAAATAAATTAGCGCTTATCATGCACTCTGCTCTTGCAGGGTAATCCGTACGGGCTGAAGGACGCGACGGGGATGGGCATGACGGCGGACATGGGTGCTGCCTGGGGCACGACCGCCCTTCAACCTGCCGCTACGGGTTACTACCATTACGATCCAACCCTGGCCGCCTACGGGTAAGTTTATCGCCAGGTTTCATGGTCTCTCGGCTCCATTAGATTAAACTACCGCCGAAAGAGAAAGAGAGGGAGGGAGGGAGAAAAAGAGAGAGAGAGAGAGAAAGAGAGCGGGGGAGAGCGCCAAACCACCTCCCCTCTTGCCCCTGTTGTCCCGTTACCTCCACGCGTCGCCATTAAAACAAGAGTCACGATTCTGTCGTACTCGTCACGTATATACTTCTCACTGGAAACGTTTCCGCGCGACGACGGTTATCGTTATCGCGAATCCGTAATATCTCCCCCTTGGTCGCACACCTGGAGAAGCACACCGTTTGTGGCGTATGGACCGTTAAAATCGCGCTGGTCGTATCGGGGAGATGAGAGCTGTAGCGCTGTTCGTCGTCGACAGAGACCGTAGCTCGGCGGTCGAGTAACTTTTATGTTAATACAATGTACGATATGTATCATCAGATATTCATCCGATTTAAACATCCATCTTTAATCATGTTTCGAGGATAAAAACAGACCGTTTGCACAAGTTGATAGCGTGTAACAACATTAATGTGGTAGTAATCCGATATAATCGTCATCGATTGACTTGACATTCGGCCAAAGTAGTTGCCGCGATTTCCGAATTCTGTCGAACTCGAAGGGGTTGAAGGCACCGGCGCTCGAGTTAGGCCAAACACGACGGACGGCTACAAAATGGCTGTAGGCAGCCGAGTGGGCGTATATAATGGAGGCTTCCAGGTTGGACGTGTGTACATACGTATACTGGCGTACACACGTACTACGCGCATACACACGTACACACGGCCACACATATCGCCACATCGCGAGCGTAGGGAGAGCAGTAGGTCTCTCTTCGTAGGAGAGCAAGTGAGTGAGTGAGTTTATTGATTGGCTTCCTCCCCGGGGTTGGCTCGCCCGTTCGCCAGGCCTCTCTCTGCTCTACTCACCACTCTACTCTCTGTGTGTGCTATCTCGCTCTACTCCCCTGTCTCTATCTTTCCCTCCCCGACTCTAAATCCCTCTCTATCTTCTCGCCCGTTCCTCCCGTACTCCCTTGCGTACGTCTACTCCCTTTCGACTACTTCCTCGGCCGCCTCCGTATCCTCCGAACGAGTCGGCTCCCACAGGTGCTTTACTTGCTTCGCTTAGCAACCCTCGTGTCCGCCTGGCGAACTCACACACGTGCACACACGTTTATGCTCGACGTTCAGGAATAGGCAAGCGCGCTGTGACTCACGCAACGGGAGACTTCTCCCTCCCTCTTTCGGAGCCACCCTTTCGGGTGGTTGTATAGTCTGCATGTGCTCGGCGGCGGCGGTGGCGGTGGCGGCGGCGGCGGTGGCGGTGGCGGCGCCTACCAGAGAAACTCCGACGGTAGGCATTGTTTATCGTGGAATTCAGCGCCCTTACTGCCTCGCTCTCTCTCGCCACCTCTCCTGGACAAGCCTCTATTAATTTACTTGCTTAATAATACGACCGCCGCTTCTCCCTCATCTCCGCCCCGGTCGCTCTCTTCCCTTAACGTACCCCGTCACTTTCGACGGCGTCAGGTCGCCTATTGTTTTACTGGCAGCGTTGAAAGTGTGGACTGCGTTGTATGACACAAGGAGGGGATCGCCTCCCGCGCGAAGGCCGAGAGTATAAATTGAAGCGGCTCGATTGGAATGCTCCGACGCGAACGCTCTGATTACAGGAAATGAGAAATATGTCGTTACTGGCGCCACGAAAGGCTTCCTTTGAGGACACTTCGAACAGGCAGAAGTATCTCTTTTTTTCTGTTGTCTTTGCGTAAATTAATTGATTTCTCTCTTTTCCTTCATTCGCGCCATTGCACACTCTCGCGAATCTTACTGCCCTGTTGTTTGTTATTGGATGATAGATGAATATGTCTGCTCGTTCTTTGTGCAATAAGATAACATAGCGAACATTTTAAATTGTTGTTAAATGGAAATTTAAATGTCAAAGATCGTTGTCGTGTTGCTTTCAATAACGAAATGTAATTGCAATATACATAATATAAGAACTATGTGTATAATAAAATTTCTTTTCTTTCATTTAGAATTTAGATCGATAATTATATAGTTACATTTGACGATGCTATAATTGTGCCGTAGCACTTTTATCAATTAAAAGAATACTATGTTAGCGAATGTTGCAGTGAATGATACTATCTCAATTTTAACCCAATCAGGAGATATCGTTTTTTGTTATCAAAGATCGCTTATAGACATTGAGTGTATCGAGTTCATAGAAACGTACCACCTTTAACGATTATACCTTTGATTTTCCGTAACCGGTTACTTATTCGCGTCTTTTCTATCGTCTGGATGCCTGAAACGGCATCTATACACTAGAAAAATCGTCTGATATATCGACATATAGAACACGTTTTTATGACCGACAAGATAAAAAATTTCCCACCGAGATTCCCTTCGCATCGTCTTGATTCTTTGAGAACAAAAATAAAAAGTCGAGACTATTTAGGCGTAGTATAATTTCATAATTTCAATAATTATCAAAGTAGTTGCCATATCCTCCGTGACTGTCTTAGAATAATGTAAAGGAAAAGGCTGCAACGTTGATGATTAGATACAGACAGCATATCGGTCTATTGTATGACGTAGCGATTGCGCGAGTACAGGGGGCGGATCTTGTCGATGGCAGTACGGAGCAAACGCAGCCGTAAGCTATACACAATTGCACAGAAGAGAGGGTGTATGTGTGTGTGTGTGTGAGAGAGAGAGAGAGAGAGAGAGAGAGAGAGAGAGAAGATAGACAGAGAGAGAGAGAGAGAGGGAAAGGAAGAGAGATGCAGTAGGTTGGCTGGCTGGTCGGTAGGAAACGTTTGCACATCCGAACCCGGGCGTAACTATTGAAGCTACCTCTATATATACACAGCTATACCAGGCTGGAGGACGTAATTACGCGCGTTCTGCCAATATTGGTTAACCTTTCGAGGTTGACGCCACCATATGCAAAGCCTCTAATGAGTCGCTCGAGTGCTGCCAGTGTCTAGCATTACGCGCTTCTCTATGCACCCTTTCGCATCGTTATTATCCCCCTTAGTGGAGGAATTCCTATCGTTTCGATCCCTATCGTTTCGGCCCTCATCCTCTGCCTCTGAGCCTGCCGACAATTTCGTTTCGCGTATATGATACGCCCCTCTCCGTCCTTTCACTGCCACGAACGGTACCGTGCTTCTAAATTGACGTTAATCTCCAATCTACGCAGAAATACGCGCGGCGATACGATAACTGTGCGAGTTCATTTTGTTATTGCACGAAATCCATTTGCCGAATCCGATATCGTACAACGTCAACATTTGATTATCGGCCTTTTAACGGGCGATTGACTGACAATAAGAAAGATATTCCTATTTGTTTACCGTTAGTGTCGGATTAAAGATATTTTTAAATAAGTCACTCAAAATGGTGTCAGTTTGGATTAACGATTGAAATTTACGTACATACATTTACGTACATCGAGATACATTTGATATTTATACATTTATTGTGGCAAATCACGCGTTAAAAATCCATATATGTTGCGCTCTTCAAGGACGCTCGTCGCACGATTTAGCATCGACAAAGAGACGATAAGAGCGTGTCGGAGAATTTTATGATAGCAGATAGTGCCATTCACTCGCAATCTACTAGTCCGTGAGCTCTTGCACTATGAGCACAACGTTTAGATCTTTTATACATATATCCGGCTCCGTTTACAATCCTTTAGAATATACAAAACTTACATTTATGAAAACTCGAGAAATTATTATGCATACTTGCCATTTCAATTTCAGGTAATGCGTGTCACGAAATCCGATCGCGATGCTCGTAAATAGCAACATAACGCCTTCTTTCTTTTCTGTATTATTGGACATTTGCTTGCGCGACTTTAATTCACACCTGACGTTTTCGGATCACCCGAGCGCATCGTGATTCGCGTGCGAATAACAACAGAATTTTTCGCGAGAAGTACCGTTGAGATATGCTATAAGAAGGAAGGGAGATTGTGAACTGGCCGTGGCACATTCGCCGAGTTTTTACTTTGCTCCCATTCGTCGTCGCATCTGCATCGTCGCATATACAAGACGCGCGATCACATCCGAGCGATTCTCTCTCGGCACGCAACGGTACACTTAGTATGTAAATGCCGATGCGGACTCGTTGTGTATGTAGATAATTGCGCGGCGCAGCGCCCGCGCCGGCGCGGCCCGGCGTGTGGGAGGCAGTCGAAATTGCGCATATTAACGAAGGGGCGAACTTTGATTATATCTGCAAGAGCTTGTATCGTCGTCCGCTGTCAATTCCTGACGAGCCTTCGATTCGAAACGCTCGGACTATCACCTTCCTCCGCGAATTCGTTAACTTTCTCATTTTTAACATTGTCCAATCACATCAACGTGAACAAGTCTGTGTTATATAATTAATATGATGCTTCGTAACGCTGACAATCCAAGAAATATTAGAAAGCTTTTTTCTGCCCTGTTTTGCGAGAAGAAAGGATATGTTCGCAATAGAATTAACAGTTTTCCGCCGTAATACGGTGCGTTTTATTGTTTCGTCTTTCGCGAATGCCGCCATATGGTCGCAACTGCTTCAACGGCGGACGCGGAAGCCTATATCGAAATCGATAGAACTCCTTCAAGGACATGGCCGCTTTCTTGCGGTAGCAGCAGGCGAAAGGAGGAACGCGGTCGGTGGAGAGTAAGGAAAGAAAGAAAGGAAAAAAAAAAGAAACGTGAAGTCGAGGAGAGGCTCGTTTTACTGGCGACGTATCCCGGCGGCCGCCTTTCCCTTGTACGAGGGAGTTTAATAGAGGGTGAAACGTCCTCCACCTTCTTCGAGTCAGCCTCCTGCGGATTGCCGCTTCCATCCCCATCGACGCGGTCATCTCGGCAATCTCGGATGCGGATCGCAGTGGTAATCGGAGGGTGGTAGGGGGAGGGGGTTGCGCAGCCTTGTGCTCGTTGAGTGAAAGCAGGAATCTAATAATTCGCCGTTCGTTCGATTTACCTCGATTTCCGCTTTTCTCTTTCTCGCTCTTCGGCTTCCTTCCCGCGTGTGCCGAGCGATTTCTCCAATCTGATCCGCCGCGCCGCCCGATGTACACTCGTCTCTAATTCGATTACATAAAGTGGAAATGGAAACCTGACAACGAGTTTATTTTTAATAGCGTCACAACGAAAATAAAGAAATCCGAAATTTGATGATTATTTCCGTATGCAATGTCATAGGAAATTACCGTGAATAGAGTAACATAAATTGATTGATGTCACCGCTGCGATTCAAGAACATTATTTTAAATTGTTTGGATACAATTTTAAATTAGTCTCACATCCATTGCTTTTTACAAAATTGATAAAATTCTTACAAACCATTGGGAATGTAATTTCAAAAATTTATTGATTATCAATAGACAATCTTCCAATTGTCGTCTGCCACTTGATATCGATACAAAATTTTCATTTATCCCTAGCCATCGACGAGCAACAGCAGCAAGTATCTCGTTAGGATGTGTTCCGCTCGAGGCAAAACATTGTTACTAACCACTACTATCGCCGCTATCGCGAACCACTGTGCCTCTTCCATCGTTTCATAGAATGGATCGATGGATCGTCGATAGGTATTTTAGCCTATAGAATATGTGTGTATATATATATATATATATATATATATATATACATATAATATATAAAACAGTACCCACCTATAACATACTCGCGCACTGGGTTCTTCGTAAGAGAGACGGGGAGGAATGGAAGAGAGACGTGAGAGGAGTAGACGCAGACTGAGCGAGCGAGAGGGGAGGGGGGTGGGCAAGAGGGGATCGATCGAATCGCCATTACGGCGAGTGAGTGCCGGGGGTGCACGATGGAATCACGCCGCCGCTGGGGGTTTATTCCCCGTATATATTTGCCGGAGTATCACCCTCGACCCAGTAGGATGCCGCCCCCCCCCTCCCTCTATCCCAGAGGGGTTTGATGTTCAGCAAGGCGGAGAGAAAGAGAAAGGGTGGGAGAGGTAGTGAAAGAGAGAGAAATAAAGAGAGAGAGAAGGGCACAGATCTAGGAAAGCCGAGGGCTCGTGCAGAGCACTTCGGACTTGCCAAAATCTACGGGGAATTCGCACCCTCGACACGATACCACTTCTCGAGTGGAGTGGCCTGTTTCGACAAATATGGAACAATAGTTACCTTCTGGCGGGCAAGCGGCGAGCGTTGCTTAACGGCGATTACTCATTCGTTAATAATGCATTTGATGTTTATTAGTGAGACGCGACTAGTAATCTCGCTGTGACTTCTAAATTTCTTCATAAAAAATAAATATATGCAGGATTAGAATCAATTTGTGTATATATACACACATATATATAATCAATCTGTGTGTGTGTTAATCGATTAATTAATGATTAGAAATGGGAATTAGTATGGGAAGAAGCACGTGCAAATATTATCTACGGTTTACTGAGCTCTTTACATCTTGATTTTTCTCATATTGCACTTCCTGTTTACAAGCAATTGCTTACTCGAGCGGAACGAATTTTTAAAGAATTTCAGAAGACTCATTGTAAGGTACCTTTTTCGTCTTTTTTAGGTACGGAGCTGGATACGACCTGGCCGCGCGGCGGAAGAATGCCACGAGGGAGTCGACGGCAACCTTGAAGGCTTGGCTGAACGAACACAAGAAGAATCCGTATCCGACGAAAGGCGAGAAGATTATGCTGGCTATCATCACAAAAATGACGCTGACGCAAGTCTCCACATGGTTCGCGAACGCGCGGAGACGTCTCAAAAAGGAGAACAAGATGACCTGGGAACCGAAGAACAAGACGGACGACGATGACGACGCGGTGCTCACCGATTCTGAGGATAATAAGGAAAAGGACGATCTCGCGACGGATAACAGAGGCGATCGGGTTGGCGAAGAGGCGAGGCGGGGCCTCGACGATACCGGTAAGCCTTTTTTCCTTTCCACGCATGATATCCGTTGCCCGACAGCGAGTCAGAATTCATTATTCAGTAAGACGCTGCCTCCAGATACGAGCCGTCACGTTTTCACGTCGCTATCTGCGAGAGCGATTTAGAAAATTGTTCGCAGTCGCGGGGCTGACGTTAACACGCGAAATCTTAGTTTACGCCGCTAACAGGACTACAAACTGTGAAACGAAATGAAACGAGGGGCGTGTCTAACGTCGCTGCAGAAAAAAAATGCCGGGAGGGTAATAATAATATTCGAAGCGGCTTGCCGGCAGCGTCTGCTTCGAGAGACAGTCTGAGAAAGAGAGAAACTGCGGCGGCGCAGTATAATATTCGCGATAGCTCTCGTCGTTGGTGCTATCGGGGAATTTCTATCGTTAGAAACATTTCATTATCAATATTGCGAGAAGTATTCGTCAGCCAAAGCTGGAATTGTTTCTCGAAGGTAGGTCCAGCGCGAGCAAGGCGAGCCGATCTCTTTGACTTCGGAATGTCGATGGCGTGTTTCCTTCGCGTGACTAGTTTCCCCCGATATCGTATACCCATCAGTTGGCGGTTCTCGTATTGCGCAAGTATATATGCATTTCGCTCGCAATGAATCGAACTTACGATTTCACTCCGGGCGGTCGGCAGTTGTTTCTAAAGATTACCTGATTTTTTTCGAGAGAATTCACGTACCGTTCCTGAATATATACCTCGCAAATATATCTTCGCTCCATGCTTCGACCAAAAGATCGATGATAGGGCTTTTAGCCCTGTCGCTCGCGATACCTGTCGTTCCTCGAGAGCTTCTGTGGGTCGCCCATCAACCGTGAATTTTTACGGCCGACGATTCTGAAATACTTACGCGGCTGCAAATTTCAGTTCATTTCAGCACTCTATTCATCGTAAGCATGTTGCACACGCTCATTAGGGACCCGAATAGCACAAGTTTTCCAAATAGCGGTTCGGTTATCGCATCCCGAGGACGATTCGCTCGAAGAGGCGAGTTTCTTCGCGCGGCGACCGGAAACGGCGAGTTAGGAATTTGCGGTGAAACGGAGCGCGCGGTGCGGAGCGGAGCGGGTTCTACATCGCGGGGGCGGACATAATGGTTCACATGTGGGTAAACACAGTGACGGGTTGCGGGTTGCCGCGCGAAGAGATTAATGGCTCTCGGTTTGGTCCCCCGGTGAATCGGGCCGACGCCGTTGGCATTGGTATTGGGCACCCCGGGCTGGACCGGGCTGCTTGCCCGTGAGTTTGCCGCGAATGTGTAGGTGTATGTACGGTGCGCGAGGAGCACGGATCTGTGAGAGGAGTACGTAATTGTATGCGTGCGCGCGTGCAAGAGGGAGAGGGTGCGCTCGGTCTGAGTAGCCATCCGTAGAACCATATCCACTCCGTGCCACGGAGTCTATATATATACGTATACATATACATATGTATGTGTGTGTCTGTGTATATATATATATATATATATATATATACACACACACATACATATATGTATATGTATATATAATATATATATCGTAAATGTATATAGATACACACGAGGGAACGCTGGTTCGAGGTTCGGTGATGTATCGGCGCCCGCGGCGAGACGAATGGTACGGACCCTCCTATGGCCACCATTACCCCACCGCACATTGGCCAATATCGGATATATATATATATATATATATATATATATATATATATATCTTTCTCACTCTCCTTCTTCTTCATCCTCTCGTCGTCTCGATCTCTTTTCCGATCCAGGACACCTAGATCCTGCTACGTCACGCGTCCTGCAATGGCTCGTAATTTCAAAGGACTGGCTCGAGCAGAAGAGAGCACTACGACGATGTGCTAGAAAAGGGTGACGAGAACCGATGGGAAATTGATTCGTCGCGCCGGTTCTTCCGCGTGAGGTCGAAAGCACAGTGAAAGCACAGACGTTGGCGTCTCTTACGTCTAAAATTTTCGTGGTTCTCTTCTTCCTATATAAATAGCGGGAACGTGTATCGACACTTCAGCTTGTGAATATATACGTACACACCTTCACTCGGTCTGTGCCGGTGACCTTTAGAAATTCAAAGGGGAGCTTTTGGCGCGCTCATGAATTTCTACGCCGAGCCGCTGAGGAAGATAGGTCACACGAACTGTCAGCCACCTATGCGGCGAGGGTTGAAATATTCGTATTCAAGTAGAATATATATATTCAAACTCTCGGGCTTTTGGAACCCGACTATTGTTACATAAAGTTAGACACGAGCAAGTTCGGTCTGTCTTGTAAATTACCGAACATGTAACATTGAAATAGAAAAATTATTATGTACTTATAACTTACGCGCGAGTTACGATCTGACCGAGTAAAGTCAAGCCCAATACAATTTAGTTATTCAATTTGAACACAGAATCCGCCCGCACGGTACGAAGATTACGAGATTAACGTCTGATAAAAGAGGGTCAAAAGTTAAAGAGCCACTTGTGGACTCGACGGTAGTATCTATTTAGTTGGCCCATAAGAGAGAAGTTCCCTTTATAAGGGGGTGCATGCGCCCTAAACCGAAACTCTCTTTTTCTCACTTTCTCTCTCTCTCTCTCTCTTCATCTCTCTCTATCTTTCTCTATGTCTCTCTTACACTAAACAGTATAGCAGCACGCCCTTCGTGCTTGGGAATTATCGCTTGACGACCCATCAAGTAAACCCTCTGCCGACACATTCGAACCTCTTAATGAAATTCTCACCCCTGACTGACTGCCTGGCTTGGCTCGGTGGCTGCCTGGCTGGCAGACGGTCGGGACGATCCGTGGAGTGCCCCGAGAGACGACGGGACAGGGAGATCGGAGAAAAAGGAGACGGATACGGTTTATTCTTTCTCTTTCTATCTCTCACTTATCCACTCGCTCGCGCATCCTCCCCACTCATTGCCCCGAAGGGAAACTGAAATCTCTCGCGCCCCAAAGTGGTTGAAGGCTTCGCTCCCTTTTTTCACAGCATCCCTTACAGCTTAACTGTATAGGGGCGTAAGGGAAATATCCACACTTTCCCGCCGCTCGACGACCCTCCATGACGATGGAATCCCGTTACGATGACTCGCGTTTTACGTCTCACTTTTCCGTATTTAATATTATAAACCATTAATGTCTATATTTTTCTCGTGTATATCCATTTTTACGAATAATCTTCGCCACGAATGTCAAATAATTCATGCATATCTTTCATCTATTTTGACGATTTACAATTTTTTTTCAATTTTTTTCAACAAGTCTACATATAATATCCCCGATTGTTTTCAGAACCAATGAGGCATGTGAAAGCGGAACTTTTGCAACACGAAAAGGATCTCGATGATGAGGACGAGTTAGATCTTGAAGACGACCGCCGACGGAGCGAGCATCCCTTTCATCACACGATGCAGCATCACCATCATCACCACCAAGGTTATGGCGGTGAGGATCATCTGAAGGAAGAGGGTATCAAGTCGGACTGTAGCGCGGGTGGTGTACCGATCCCTGCGACGAAACCCAAAATCTGGTCCTTAGCGGACACGGCGGCGTGTAAAACGCCGCCGCCACCGTCGCATCCCCACCACCAGCAGTATCACCATCTACATCATCAGCAACATTACCCCCAGCAGCAGCAGCAGCAGCATCACGTGCCGAACCAGGGACATCATCATCACTCGCAACAACCATGGATCGGTCCAGGAGGCGCGGGAGGTGGCGCCGGCGGCGGTGGTAGCGGCGGAGGCGGAGGAAACTTGGGAAGTTCGTTCGCTCTACCCTCCTCGGCGGGGATGAGCCCGTCGGCAGCGACGGCGCCCTATTCGGGCGCTGCCGCGAGATACGGCGGCTTCCTCTCGTCCTCGTCCGGCGGCCAGCTCCATTACAACCCCAATTCATCGTCGGGCTCGAGCTCAAGCGCATCCTCCTCGGCGGCGGCGGCGGCGGGGTTTCCAGAGGTTGGCACGGACACTCCACCCCAGACGCCGCCCAACATGAAGGTGGCCACGCCGAATGGAGTGATCCAGGCACCGCCGGGCGGTTACTGTCCTGGTGGCAACGCCGCCAGTGCCGCGACTAATGGCAATCCTAATATCCCCTACGGCGCGAATCATCCCGGTAGCGGTGGTTATCTGTCGACGAGCTCGGGCTCGGCCAGCAGCGCCTCGTCCTTCAATTCCCGGCTCCAGAGCTCACCGCATAAGGACTTCTCGCCGGTCGGTCAAAATTCTATTCTCCATCAGCATCAAACCACTGCCAGCTTGCCACCCACGGAAGCTACCACCGCATTTAAACCATTTTATAAAGGGTGAGTGAAAGATATCGGTTCGATGTCATTTGATTTTAATATTAACTTTTGTAAATTAACTCGTTTATGTTAAGTAATGTTGCTAAATTGTGTTTGAAACATATGAATCTTTATTTGGTGTATGTAACAAAAAAAATCACGCAATAAAAATAAAAAAATTATAAGAAAGGATTAAAAAGAATGCGCATTTTGTTCCAGCTCACAATCGATGGGTAGTGGCTTCGTCTCGCCAGTTTAAGAGCCCGTACCGAGGTCCAGAAAAACAATAGTCGTCTTTCTCAAAGTAAGTGAAAATATTTTATTATTTTGTTTACGCCTGTCCTTTTCGTATGTTGTTTCTTATACTATAATTACGAATGACATGTGTATATACACATCGAAAATTTTCCACTACATTAAAATTCTTCGTCGGTCTGTAGTGTATTGTGGCCGCATTAATATCACGTCGAGCGATGTTCGTAATTTACTTTCGACTGTGTAAAAGAAAGAAGACGCGTCGACGAGATCCGGGGAAGGGGACGAATGGGAAGGGAAGGAGGGGAGGGGGGCAGAAAAGGTAAGTTGTCCGAAGCAACGGTACATGACCGGCTTATCGGCACGAAAATCGATACAACGATTCTCGCTTGCGCGAACGGCGCGAAAGGCGCGCCGGTCAAACTGGTGTGTTGCGCCAAACTCGCGTATGGCCGAGACACCACGGGAACAATCGATAAGAAATTAATATCCGGCGTGTCGATTGGTCGTTAAGCCAAGCGACCCGAGTTGAAATAATAATGGTATCGGACACACATTGAGTAGCGTGTGGGTAGTCCACGGTGGTAGAGGGAACGATTGAGAAGAGAAAGAGAGAGAAAGACAGATAGAGAAATAGGGAGAAAGAGGCTATCGCCACCTCCTTGACAGTGACAAATGGACGGAGATTTCAATCAGTGAATGGAATCACCACTGGCTAACCGTGTCTTTCTCTTACCACACCAGTCGACCGTAGGCTTTTACGTGTGCACGCGCGCGCGCGTGTCCGTGTATGCCGTGCGCACCTACGTGTGTGTGTGTGTGTGTGTATTGGAACACTACACTCGGACACACCTCAACCTGTCGCGTTGGTGACCGAACGGACGACTCCGGTCCAGTCTCGCATTTGGGTCTCACGAGCGATCTCCTTACTAACGGCTTAACCCTATAAGATGGATACCTTAAAGCGTCGTAAGAGAAGCGTATGGCCATAGTAGTGTTGTCGTAAATTTTCCGTAAATTACGTGTGTCGCGTCAAATAAACGATTCACATATAAATTTATCGCGCATATAAATTGTATACAAATCATTGCGTCGTTCAAAAGATCTGTGAATAAAAAGCTACGCCGTTGCACTCTTAGGAGTGCTCTATCAAATTTCAATTCGAGTCGTGTAAACGCATCGTAGAACGAATGCGTTAGCGCGCGACTTGTGTGCGAGACGATAAGTCATGAAAGAGATAGAGAAGCGGTTGTCCGCGATAGTCGGCAAACGATCGTTAAAGCGTCTTGGGGAAAGCCGGAGCCTTCGTCTTCTCATTCGCGGCATTCGTAGATAAAATGTGGGGAGGGAGGGGGAGGAGAAGGGGAAAGAGTCGAAACGGCTGTTCTCCCGTTTCCTTACAAACGATACGCGGGATTCATCTCCAGGGCTTACCCTCGTCTCATTCTCTTCCTCCATTCTTCTCGGCGAATCCACCCGCAGTATCCGTAACGTCGCGGTGCGAGTACGAGTCTTTGAACGTTATCTGATTCGACGGAATCGTAAAGGAGCCGAATCGCTCTCCTCGCGAAAATACATTTCCCAGTTTTCCTTCCCTGCGCCGATTCGAGAGCAATTCCAGCAAAGCGGCCCTCTCTCGAGTCTCGCCGCCACCTGTATCCGATGGCGATGGGAATCTGCTCGACAGAATCGATATTATTGCGTGGAAAGTGCGGCGTCTAACCGTACAGTCGAGAGACGTAGATTATCTTGGATTTTTTTTGTTTCAATGTAACGTATTGTCTATATCTGAACATAACAATATTATTGATACGTTCAGGAGCGTTAATTATTTCCGCAATGGGGAAAAAAAAATAAAAATAAAACGAGACACAGAGTTTTTAGGATGCTCGATAAGTCGGAACGAACTGCAAGAAAAATTATCTCGACACATCATTCGTCGCCTCGTTTCGCAACAAAACTATGAAGACTCGAGAGAATCGCCAGCCAGGGCGACGCTGCCACGTATCGGCTGCGGAGAACGTCCGTCGTCGTTGTCTTTGTAGGATGCCACGACGTGAACGCGAGTAGAAAGGCGGATGGCGAACGGGAGAAACGGGGGTGGCGGATAAAGGGGGAAAGAGGAAAGGGGGAAGAAGGGGTCGTCTTTTCGGATGGAACCGGGTGTTAGCCGGTGCTCTCTTATCTCGCGGCGATCTGATCCTAATTTATAGCCGCGTTCCAAATAAACTAGTTTTCGCTGTCGTCACCTCGCTTCCTCCCTTCCCCGTCCCCGTGCGTATGTGTGTGTATATATGTATATCGAACGCGCCGGTGCGTTCGCATCTCGGATGCGCTTATAATGCTACCCCTCTCCTCTTTCGGTTCTCTCGGACCGGCACTCGCTCCAGTCCGGACCATCCTCGATCTCTGCCTCCTCCCTCTTCGCCTTTCCTGTCGCGCACAAACAGACAGGTATACGAGCGAAGGAGAGAAAGAGAGGAAATGTATGTATGTGTGAGTCGCTCAGGTCGTGCGAGGCAGCGCCTTTTGTAGCACCTACCACCAGGTAGAGGTAGGTCGATCTCCTCTTTCGTTCTCTTTCCAATCGCGTCCGAAAAGAGGCGATCGAAGAGAGAAGTAGGGACCAGCGAGGAGACAGCCTCCGTGCAGAAGTAAAATCTTCTCTCGCGATGCCTGTGCCCTATAATTGCCAATTAGCGCGAGGATGTTTAATCGCCATTAGGACGATGGTAACCGGCTGATTGAGGATTGGTTGGTTGGACCCTTCCTCCTTGGGTGGACCCGCTTCTAACTATCGTCGCCTTTTAGCTAGCGATATTTACACGATCTCACGGTATCTGCATAAAATTCGCGACCACCATGCACCCGTGCATCCGCCTCGAAGGCGCGAGAGGATAGGCAATCTTTTTAACGGCTTCGAGATTCCGGACGGGGGATTCAGGTGTCTCCTTAATAAATCCTCGAATACGTCGCCGCGGTTTCCCGCGTGTGTTCCCCTGCTCTCTCTTCCTCTCTCTTCCTTTCCCCTCTTTTTCTTTCGAAGATAGGACTGTAGCCGGTGTTTCTTTGAGAAACATACGCGTTTCTGGAATTCCCGTACGACCTTCGGAGGTTTCATCGGAGGCGACACGCTCGTCGTAGTATACCGCGTCCTTCTTTGTCCTCGACCTCCATTTTGCGAGACGCAACACTCGTTTCGAGCGTTTATCGCGCGTACGGTCGTCTAGCGTGGATCGTGAGATCTTGAGGGCCAAGGCGAAGACGGTAGCGAAAACGGATTTACGTTTCTAGATGTGCGCGGCTAGATGGCTTCGTTGCTACCTGGGGTATAATCGGGGAGAGATCGCCGGGAGCACGCACCTCCACCTTTTCGACCCTGACGTGGCGAGGCGTCGCTATCATTCACGTGATTTCGTGACTCGACCGCTCCGGCCGGCCGACGCGGATGCAAATGTTATTGATTGGGAATAAAAACGCAGACCGCAGTCGCATGGCGCGCTCCTACGTGCTTCCCTACCCCCTCTGAATATAAATCGACACGTTAATTCTAAAACCGGACAGATACAGCGAGTGCGATCCTATCTCGGCTTATTAAAAAAAATAACGCTCAACATTGCCGCTCGCTTCGGTACGATGATCGTACTCGTATGCGCGTAAAAGATCTGCGAACGAGACGGCTCGTTATCCTTACGCCCTTACGCATTACCGCGTAAACACTCCGCGTGCTCGTGTAGGAGAACTCCAACGAGATTATTAATAAAGTTATAAAATAAACAGACTCTCTCGCTTATCTCGGGCACGTTATAATTAAATCATTATAGAGGCGCATACACGCCGCTGAATTTCCAAGGAAATAATTCGTGTCGATACGCGAGCGGAATGTTAACTTCTTTTATAAAAATGCGTAACGTAAGGCGAGCTATCAGCGTGAGTTATTATTAAAATTCCCCGTAACCGGTGCTTTCATTGAATTAATGATTGTTTGATGTTTATAATTTCATGCGCCGGGCTGTCTTCTACATTATGCAAGGCTACCGGGACCGGCCACACGAGACCAGCGCAATAATTACACGATGGCGCATTGCTATTAGTGGAGCGTTCAACTGTCCCGCGATATCCGCTAAACGTAGAATTCGAGCAATGAAATTCGCGTTATCGCGGTTCGCCTGTGCGACTCGTTCAATTTCGTCGTTCCCTCCTCGGGGGGGCTATCGTTCTAAACGCGCGATATCGCCGGTGTCGATCAACACGAGATCTCCGCGCTATCTTTCCCGAAATTACGGTTAAATTACGACGTCATGTTGAACGATATCCTTTCGAGACTTTTCGTAATCGGCGATTCTAAGCCGCGATTGTATAAATAAATTATAATACCGTCGCTAGAGTGCAAATGGATGTGCACGAAAGGAAATTATTCGCTGTCGTAAGATATTAATACGCTGTATCGTTCAAACGGGAATTTATCGCGAATACGTAAAGTTAATATTTGAAGAAATGCACAACTGCAGTTAATTCGCTATGTTTATAAATTATAGATGAATAGTTCGAAAGATTTAGCGTTTGTGTAGTTACTATTTAAATGTACTTGACAGTTTTATCGTGAAATAAAACGTTTCACAACTTTTGGCCCGTCGGAGATAATGGAGAATGGATAAACAGGTTTTCTATAGAGCGTCAATCATCGAGACATCAACGGGTATAAGCAGCTTTGCGCTTGTAAAAAGGCACTTCGATTGCGGCATTGGCTTATTTCAAATTAATGACATATGAATGGAATTCTACTATCTCTCTTTCGCTTGAGCTCCCAAGAGAAAATGATCGTTGTAACTTAACGTCAATTCGACACACACCGAGGCGAAATAATCTTTCCGCTACGTCATCGATCGCGGATCCTAAATTTCGTATGTGCAATCGCGCAGTTTTTTTTCTCTCTTTCCGCTTTATCAAATTAAAGCCGGCAAGGTCACTTGACATTGATAGCGATAAACGTCGGGAGACGTTTTTATCGCGCACATAGATCGGTCGTTTCGTAGAAGTTTCATAACACAATGGAAACGGAAGCGGGGACGCGCGCGGTGCGGCCGCCGCGACCGCGTATAAAATGATAATCGCGAATGTTTATTGCCCGGGCGAAGAGACAGCGGCGCGTTGCCTCGTCAGTAATAACCGGCATGCATGTAACATCCAGATGTCACTGCGGAAACTTTCGAAACGACTTGCCGCATAATCGCGCGACATTTGTCATCCGGGCCGACGCGCGCGTCATTTCGTTCACGATCCGGCGAAGCGAACGAAGCGGACGAACGTGAAGCGCGCGCGACAAGAGCGGGCGAGATGGGAACGGGTGGAGAATGGGGAAAAGGGACGCGGCGCACAGACAGGATAGACGGGCCCGTATAGCCGTTTTCAAATATTCGCCGGGCGTCGCCGCGGCAGTGCCGGGGGCGTCAGTTCCGAAACGTCGGCCAAAATGGATATTGGCGTCCCGTTTATAATCGTGCGCCACGGAAATCTCCCCGGCGGCGCACCACCGGCGCGTATCATCGCGTGTCGCCGTGTCCGCATAATTGTTCGGCGAAACACGATTAATTCATACGTGTCGCCGTATCGCCGTGAGCACCGATCAACGTCGCTCAGGAAACGTGACCCTCTTAAGGGCCGAATCGATTACAGAAGTTCCATAATATTTCTACTTCTATTTCTTGCTTTAAAATATTATGTCAAACAAAAGAGAACGCAATATTTCTGGGCATGACATGATTTTACGTTTTAGCACGTTTTTATTCTGTGCTTGCTTATTTTGTTTGTAATTCGTAATTCATAGTTCCACAATTATGGAAACTCTAGAGAAACTTTTTTCATCGACACAGAAAAAACCTTTAACATATGTTCGTCAACGTATTCAAGGCAATTGAAAGTAAAAACGTTGTTTTCGAGAAAGCTTTCAGGGTCAATATGTATATATATATAAACTCATATACATATAAAAATCAATTAATTTTAATGCAGTTCTATCATGTTTTAATTGCTTGATATCGTGACTAATGGCTCTCGTACAATTTTTACACAGCATAAATGTGTACGATAAAAGCTGTATACGATATGTATATCCAGTATATCGGACTTGTCCACGAGAAAGAGATATAGCAATCGAGTATTGATTCGCTCTCGTATATCCATCAGTATTCCTACGTATAGTAGATCCGTTAATAACCGATTGCGATCTGTATGGGTAATTCTTGATCGCGCTAATTTTACCAGTTTGAAAAGTAAAAATCGCTCATCTGCAATTGCCAACATAATTCCATATAAATCGTCACGATGAAGTAAAAGTGTCATGCCCAGAAATATTACGTTCTAATCTCCCCGAGAGTTAGGATTTGCATAAGTATTTGTCTATAAAAGTCGTCGTTACGTAACTCGCGTGTCCTCCCGAATACGTCACGCGAAAATAGTTAACAATTGCGACAAACAGTTACGGACGTATAAATGGCCGTTTAGTGCCGAACGATACCGACGGTAATGGCCGAGTGAGCAGCGTGTTTTGCATAACGATCGCATTTTATCTCGCGGCACGTGTGGTTTGTCGTTTATTAACACTGACAATCGCTGTCACGGTATCGCCGGACCGAACGATTATCCGTTAGAGTCGCAAAAATGGCCTTGCGATACATAATGAGCAGGTTTCCGACGCTTGCCCCTCTTTCCCGCTCCTTGACGTGGAATCTATATTTCCAACGTGCCGATCGGCGACGGCGGCGGCGGCGACGGGCACGTGAGATACGGTAATCGAGTATCGATAGGCGCAAACGAGCGCGCGTTTGCAACGTTACGGTGTTACGGGCATCGCCACGGACGTAATTGTACTCTAGTAACAGTTTGTTTACAAAGGTATTGACGTTTTCATAGGTATAATTCGCTATTTAAACCGATTGTCTGCTCGAACGGTTTATAACGAGAATTGTCGCGCGATTTTATCGATGACTTTACGTAAAGCTTCGAAGGAATTTTTTCCTTCGAGAAATGGGCCGTAATTGCCCGCTTGATAATTCACTTTGTGTTAGTTTTTGTGACTCATCACGAAAGCCAAGACGCAATATGCGCGTTCGACATTGTTTAAACTTGTGAAACACGAATACCATTCGAACCGAACATTTGTCCCGAAATAATTATACGTTATTCTTATACTAGTGTATACATCAATAATCCTTCTTTCTGCTACGTAGAAGAGGGAACACGGCGGCGCCGATCTAAGACTATTTCCATTTTTCTGTTGCAGAATAAAGCGGCGCCGTTGAGGGAGAGGTCCTGCGAAGAAGTCCTGCGGCTGGACTGTAAATACGCGCTCCTGAGTGGTCTCGGGATTTATTAGCGTTATCTCGACTTCGCGTCAGAGGCGGAGAGAGAAAGAAGCGGGTAGAGGCAGTCAGGCAGGCAGTCAGGCAGGCAGGCAGGAAGGAAGGAAGGAAGGAAGGGAAGAGAGGAAGGTGGCCGACTCTTCGAGATACATAAATCGTTCCCCGACCTCTGGAAGGCGCGACTTGGAAAAGACGTATGAGAGGGGTAGAAGAGCGACTGCGCGAAGCGCGGGAGTACGCGAGAGAGGAGGCGGCTTAGAGGAGATTTAGGAATTAGGAGAATTACGTCAAAGTGCCTGCTTACGCACGGCTACGTACGGCGAAGCGACATCGGGGGCCGGGTAAGAAGAAAGTATGGGGGCCGAGCGCGCGCGGGATTTATGTCCGACGTATACTCTCCTCGGCGTGCTGCAAGCGAGAGAGCCTGCGAGCCGCCATATTTTCGATCGGTACCATCGACCGCTGGCTGACGGCAAGAAGATGGGTTTACGGGGCACGGGGCAACGCGTTGCGTCACCCCATCGCTGAGCTCGAGTGAGAAGGAGATTTTCAAGTTACCCAGGTCGAATGGCCGAACACGAACTTTTCGCGATCGTCTTCGATGTTCGGATGTACCGCCGGTATACATCGTCCTCACACGTACACTCACACACGCACCCTACACACACGTAATTGTGAGTCCTTCTTTTTTTTTCTTTTGTTTAGTCAATGTTTCATTGCCGATCGTTCAGCGACGTCTCGAGATTTCCGGAATAAGCACTGCGCGCGCGGAGAGTTGTCGATTTTGTAAATAAAGGATGCGCGCGCGATCACTTCGGGAATCCGTACTGACGATTTCGCACCGAAGATCGTATATACATGTATATACATATACAATACCTCCGACGGAAGGGTAAATCGTTTGATAAATATCCAGCAAATTTGGCGGACGAACGATGTGCCTCTTCCGAGATCGCGAAGATACCAATCGCGAATTACACATGGGCAACGTGCAAGGTAGCACTACTTCTTCGTTACGGAGTAACGGGGTCTTTCTTAACGGTCGTCGCTCGAAATCGGTTATTTAACTCGGCAGAGAGAGAGAGAGAGAGAGAGAGAATTTCGATGGGTCGCCCGAGTGAATATAATATTACTTCGACCAAGTCGTGCGCGGCACGAATATCGAGAAAGAAAAAAAAAGTGAGAAAGAGAGCGTGAAGAGAAACACTCGATCTACCTGTTGTAGGTTTAAGATGAAAATAGGGGAAAGACAGATCGCGTAGCGCATTACAAAGCTACTATCGTTAAACTTACCACTAACTCCTTTAATTATCCGAATGAAATATTAACGTATACCCGAATACCCGCATATAGAGATGGAATGATAAATAGTACACCTACGCATTACACGTACACACACGGTGACACGCAAGTAAGTCTAGGCCGTAGATCTTAAGACTGTACCTACTACATCACGAAATTTTATCGGGGTGACGCGTCTTAAGGGTTTTGCAAAGAAAAAGAGAGAAAGAGGTCTCCTCGCCGCAGAGTATACATCGCTATATTATAAGTATAAATAAAAATATATGAGAGAGTAGAGAGTTGGCGCAGAAAAATGTGCTTATGCGCCTAACAATAATACTAACAGCGACGAGAAGAGATATGGTCAGAAATTGAATAATAATCGTTAAGGATCAAATTCGTCCCTTTTCGCGCGACAACCGTGCACTCGCGCATCTCAGGCCGGGACATCGGAGGACGTAAATTCCTGTATATGTAGTATTATTTCTTCTAGTACATGTTACATTTTATTGTTGTCTAATGCTATATTTTGTTGTATATTTCTTACAATTATCAATTTCTTTTATGGACAATTTTAAGTTTGTTGGTAGATAGTCGAGTTAATCAGCGTTATTATATTTTTAAAGGAGAGAATATTACTTTATTCACAATTCTTACGAAGACATCGCGTAGCATAAAAAGCGGAAATGCGGCGTGCACGGTGTTCGAAACAAAAAATTGTTGATATTTTTTTATATTATATGTATATCGCGCGGGTCGTCCCTTCTTTTTATGAAGCTGATCTGCAGGTTCGTGAAAACCGAGGGACGCACGACATAGTATCTTGTGCAAATCGCAAACGATTGTCAGATCGTGTTTTGAAAAAAAAAAAAAAAAAAAGAAAAAAGGGAGGTCGACTATTATTTTGTACTTTGGCGTAAATGTAAACGGGAGCGCGCGCGCACGCGCGAGTCATCGTCGGCGGTTGAGAGGGAGCGTGTCGAATGGAACTTGTACATTGTTTTGTAAAGAATACATTTATTTATATCTGTGATAACGGAAGAGTTCAACGGGGGAAAAAAAAGAGGGGGAACGATAACATAGAACGTTCGCGGTATCGGTATACTCTGACGAAGATGGTCGGTGCTCGTGCATTCGTTGACACGTATATCATAGTATAATTATATAGATATGGTAACGTTTTTTTGTAAATAATCAAAGAGGAGTATAGAGAGATAGAAAGAGAGAATGAAAAAAAGAGAGAGAAAGAAAAGCAACGGGTAGAGTGTACCGCTTTGCGGACGGTTTTAATTAAACGAAGGTTAGAGAAAGGGGTAAATAAAAAAATTATATAAATATATAAATATAACGCACGTTTTGTGTACATTGTCGCACCTTCGTGAGAGAATCTATTTGTTGTGAATAGTACACGTAATAATACAGATATATGCTATGACTATTAGGTTTTATTCGCTTGTTCGTACGGATTCGACTGTAAAATAATTAAATTGTACATAGTCCTGAATGTGAATATAAACAGAAAAAATATATATATACATATATATATATATATATATATATATATATATATGTATGTACACATATATGTATATATATATTACTGCTATCATCGCTTATTATTATTAACATCGACACATAATTATTATTATTTTTCTTATTATTTTAATATTATTGTCGGCTCTATCATCTCGTGAATTCGTATTATATAATAAAATAAAAAATAGTAATAATAATTTGTCGATGTTTTTAATAATAATAATAATAGCAATGTATATATATGTACGTATACATATATATATGTATTATTACTATTATCATTAATTATTATTATTATTATTATTATTATTAACATTGACATATTATTACTATTATTATTTTATTATTAATATTATTGTCTACTCTATTATTATAAATTTATTATAATTAAAAGGAAGACTATATTACGTTGTACATGCACGCTTCATACTTTCTTTCTCCGTCTACCTCAATACCGCATTATGAAATATTATTCAGCGTTACTTTCCTCCGGTATCGGCGTTATTTGCAACGGCGACGAAGATTTATGAATAAAAGACCACTTTAACGTCGTAGCACGTTCATTGTCGTTCAAAGAAACCCAAGTTTCTCACTATCCTTGACTCGATAATCGTCCTCATTCAAGATTCTGCAGATCGACACAGATATCCCCGTGATCGTTACGACGATCGATATTTGGCCGCCGCGGCCAAGCGAGCCAAACCGTATCGAAGGTTGTACGCACATCTGTTTCCGAATCCTCCGCCCATCTCCCCCTTCCCTTTTCTCCCCCTTTCTGACATTATTTTCGGACGTTCTGCAGATTTTAAAAAAGTCACGGACGAGTTGTAAGTCGTAGCACGCGCGCGCCGCAACACAGGAACCACATTGTGCCCGTTCTAACGTACCACAATGGACGTCTCCGTTTTGAATATTCGAACAATGGTACTTTCGCGGTGGGTGGAGTTTCAATGAAAATACATGGCTTGCGCAGAGGGAGGGAAGAAGCGAAAGAGAGAGAAAGAAGGGACGGGAGAGAAGGACAATGGAATTCGCGCACCATCCCTCTCCTCCGAGAGCGGAGAAAATAAACTCTATTCGGTAGTTTGCGAACACGAGTTTGCAGCCAGTTAAAGTTTTGGGAGATACGACGCCGACGATAAATATTGGAATAAGTTGCGATATAGGTACACCCCATTACGAAACGTCCGTACCATCCTTCCGTTGTTCGGCGAATTTTTAGTAACAGATTCGCTGTATCGCAGATCGGATACACAGCCACACATGCTCGAATTATCGATTAACGTTAAATCTAAAAATACCAGTATGAAATAAAAGAAACATTCGGGAAACTTTCTGCTATTAATAAAATCCTACTATTAATGAGAATCTCTGAACTTTCGAACGAGACCACCCTGACGGCTCGCCAAGGGAGACGGACGCTCACCTGACCCGCGTCCTTCCGGTCTGTTGGCAACAAACATGCACTCGCGGCACGCACGACCGTCGAAGATTAAAACTCGAGCAACAAGAGCAAAGTGAAATTCCAGCGTCGTGAGCCGTGCTTCGTTTTCCTTCGTGAATCTATTATATATTCTTATGGGTACAAAAAGTATTTAACGCCCTGTATTTAGGAAAATGAATATCAAAGCTCTTCAATCGTGATTAGTAAAGTGTTTTCAATTGTGATTAGAAAAGAGCGAGAGAAAGAGCGCATAATTACGTTGCTAGCGCAAAGATATTACGGTAAGTTAATTTCCCGTGCATGGACAATCACGCCGACCGCCCCATTATTCATCACGTTGCGTGCCATCTCTCGTGGATCACGGGGGTATAATACACCGATCGCACCTCGGCCGACGCGCGCCGTGGCTATATTGCCGTATGTTAAAATTCTAACAACCATAAATTGGGCAACAAAAACTCGCAGACGGCCGCAGCAGTCAGCTAAGACAAAGGATTAGGACCTGCAATTCCGCAGCAGGATATAACGCTATAAAGTCATAACGTGTCGTGACTTTTTTATTCGTCTTCGGTCTCTTTCGCTCCTTCCTCTCCATCACTCCTCCTCCTTCCCCACCGCCTTCTCCTTCCGTCGCTTTTCTCTCTCGCACGAGTGCCATCGGGGGTATTCCACTATTTCCACTTGAGTCGTATTGCCACGCCGCGGCGCCGCGGCCAGGCCAGGCAGATGCAGGCGAGCGAAGTTTACATGAATCGCCCATACAACAACCGTCCTATATCATTTGACAAGAAATATGGGATCTCGCGGCCGGCTGGGTACGTATACCGTACGTACATTTAACGCGGCGCACACCGCGAGCAAATCTTCCATGTTAACGTCGCCGAATCACTTCGATCCGGAACGGTACCGGCGCAGCACGACGCGCGTATACGCGTATATATCGATACAAATATTTTGAGAGGATGTATCATTCAACGGATAATTCGGACGTCGCGCTCCCGGCCGCTATAAATCTCCCCGGCGCACGCATATATAATTGTATCGCAACTTGTTTTCGTCGTCGCGCGGTACACGTGTCTCAAATAAATGCCACCCATAAGTACGGATCGTGACACATATAATTTGTATAATCACCCGCCGAGAATACTTTGCTGATAGATTAATGATTGTAGTGCTGCGAATACTCTCGTGAATTAATATTCATGAATCCCCCCTTTCGGCGTCCCGTTTCCCCTCTCCCGTGAAACGCCAGTCCGCGAAATCTCGCTCGATCGCGATACGCAACTCCTACGACTGTAGACGAGAATAACAATAACAGGAATGATATTAATAACGACAGTAACAACAAGCGAGAGAGACGAGATCGATAACCCTGCGCCGAGCGGCCGAGCATTACCATAAATTTGAATGTCCTCGCGCTTTCTGTCCCCTTTCCCTCCCCCCTCCCGTCCATCCTGTTTCCCTTTGCGGTCCCCTACGATTCTTCTCATGCTGCCCCCCCCCTCCCCTCCCTGCTTCCCGCGCACGAGCGAACGTTTCCCCATGACCACCCTCCTTTTTACGGCTTACTTTATGGCAAAGACTCAATTTGGCCACGGCGGTTGGTGCGCGTTCTCCGGTGACTAATATACCGGGATGCGCCGCGTGGGGTGCAGCGGTGATGCATCGTCCGCGGTGCCCCACGTATGCCTCCTTCTCTCTCGGGGAGAGATAGGGGCCTCTACGGGACACCTTCGTTTCGAACGCGCGCGTACGCGTTTTTACGAATGGCTCCTTACGAGCGGAGCTCGTCCCTCTCTTAACGCTGCTTCACAAGATCGTTTAATATCCCTGATTCCCTTAACGGCCGCGAGAGCGGTCGTACATTGTACGGCGTACGTTTCAATGCCGTGCGGCATACTGCCATTGTTTTCCGATATCAGTCGCAGCAAATTAAAAAATGTAATTACATATATACTTTTTGAATCATTCGTTTCGTGAAAATAATTTCTAGCTATGAAAATAAATTACCTAAGCGAGGAAGAATATTCGCTACGCGGCGACAATCCGTTTTGTACTTGACTCTATTTTCGATATTGTTACTTCCGCTCTTTTATCATCTTTCTCATATCATAGGATGCTCGATTCGTAACCCCGAAGACGGCGCTGTTTGCGAGCGTCGTAAGGCGCACTTACGAATGGGCCCCTTCACGAGTACACGTATTCGCGAAGGCATTCACGGACACCACGTTGGGCCTCGTCTTCCTCACCGTGGGGCATCGGACCGCGCTAACTTACGCCGGATTACGGACACTATTTCATCGGAACGCGGGGACCTCTCGGTGGGGCTGGCCGCAGTACGACCTCACCTTCTCCGAGCGGATATCGCCGTATTCAAAACCGCGTCGTTGCCTATGATATACAACGAGATGTGAAAACAGCAGTTTATCGATAAAATTTATTTATGCGCATAACAGGATCGATATTATAAATCGCTTTACTCCCAGGCAATAAGTCACGCGGTTTTAAGGAAATTTTTAACGGCAAATAGCAGGAATAATTCTTTCTAATTAATAATTCAACAATAAATCATTCTGGTTTGCTATCCAACAATTTCTCTTTTATTGTAATTATAGTTAATATAT